TTGGCGCCGCCACAGAGTAGGTCCAAGGCAAGGCCTCTTTTACTGCAGGAGGGAGATCAGCATGGTGTAAGTGGGACGAGGCAGGATGGGGACTTCTACCTGCAGAGCGGAAGGGTAGGATGGCGCGAGTTGAGCAGGGCTCTGATAGGTGAACCGCCAGGTTCCAGGCCGGCGATTCGGTCGTGATGGAAATAGACGCCCACGAGAGTGGACGGGGTGGCGCCGAGCTGTGGTTGGCCCGATGCTCTGAGAGCTGTCGTGGAAACTCGCCTGTTCCTAGCTGGCGGGTACTAAATCGAGCGACCTCGTTTTTGTGGACAGCGACTACTGACACAATGAACGGGTAGTCTTTTTAGTTTCGAGAAGATTGCAGCAGGTGAGGGACGGTTCGACTTGTTAAGCAGAAAAAATGAGAGAGGAAAGCAGCCGGAGGAAGACGCAAACCAAGGCGGAGGAACTTTCAATAAAGCCAAGGATTGCGCAGTTTTTCCAACTCGCTGGACGAATATAGAATATCCAAAGCAACCCCAAAAGGCATCTAGAGAGGGGAAAAGAGGCACGGGTGAGGAGAGGATGCACACTCGTTCATCTCTCAGAGTAACCGACCTCCCCTACCCAACTTGCAGCTTCTAGCTGGGTGGCCATGTACGTACTCTAACTGTACACTGATACGGACAGCGAGAGAGACCTCGACAAAGCTCACTGGAGCTTGGCGGCAGTTGCAGTTGCATCCGCATGGTTCGACGATGGACGTAAGGATGGTGATTGGACGTTGACGTTCAAATTGAGAGGAGGCAGGCCAGTAGCAACTGGGTGAACAACGATATGGTTGGACGGAGGATGGAAGAGGAGGCTTGCGGAACCCTTGCTCCTGATCACCCACGGGCGCCAACTCTTCCAAATCGACAAGTCGACCCTTGCTGCCGCCCGCCTCCCCTGTCCGTCAACTGCAGCCATGATAGGCTCAAATCGTACAGGCGCTCCGGATGCCACATGCTTGCACGTTGGCGCAAGAACACCCGGCCAATCAGCGGGTAGAAGTGCGTGATGAATGTCCAGCCACATGCAGCTCCGGCGGTAAGCAAAAGTTGGGGGAAGAATTGGGTGAATGGCAAACACAGAATGGCCACAACGCCTGCGCGGCCGTTTTTGTCTCTTGCGACTCTGCTCCTCACTCACTCGAGTCATCTCATTGCGCTGAACTTGCTCCAAGCGGCACAGAAAAGTGCTCTTCGCGGTGGGTCTACAGACCATCAATCAAGGTCTGCCCATCCTTGGCTCGCAGAGTAGGCAAAGCCGCAGAATGACAGCCCGGCGAGTTGGCGAGTGACTGTAGCGTGGTGGTGTTTGCATGCAGGCTGGCTGTAAGATACACAATGTGTGATATAGGTGTAGCCATGGATAGCATTTGCCCCTCCACGTCTACCACCCTTGACGGAGGTACCAAAATCTCACGTTGGCCATGCTGGGATTTGGGGTAACCGACAATCGCAGGCGCAGTTCGGGCATCCGAAAGCCTGGCGACACCATGTTTTCGAGCCTCGAAGACGATGTTGCGTGTGCTGGTGCGACTAATTGCGTCGAGCCTAGGTGTTTGGGGTCGAGTGCCGTCGATCCGTGAGACGCGCCGACGAAGAATAGAAATGGATATCACCACATCTTCCCACGCGTGTCGCCCTCCACCTGATGTTGAGAAATGAGCTAGGCGCCGTCCGGGCTATCTGTCAACCGTCAGCGATCGCCCTTGTACTGCAGATGGTGGTAGGCAGGTTTAAGGTAGGTAAGACTTGGCCCGTGTCCCGTGGTTTTCCATCTCGTCCGAACCTATTTTTAGGAATCTCGACCAATCAGAGAGACGTGATGGGAGACGAGCTGCTGTAGCCTTTTTCTTGTACATGGCCGATGGTGTGGTGTCTATCTGCTCGTCTAGAACTGTGCCGTGATCCCATGGCTAAACTTCAACGCCGGTTGACGGGATAGCTGACATTCTAATGCAATATCATCCCGAACCTATCGTCTTTTCTCTCTTCTATTCTGGAAGGAGCAAAATGTTCCTTCGCCCCGGCACTCGTTTCAACTGTGTGATGTCCGTCGCTCACTGAGGCTAGGGGCTACACGCCGACTTCAGTGAGTGACAAATTTACGTAGTAATAAGAGCTGCTCGTTGAAATCACTGGCGATGATGTTTCCATGTCGCGTGAGCCTTTCTGGAAGCTTTCGAGGAGACTCAGAAGCATGGCTTTTCTTTGTTGGAAGGTGACTCAGGAAGCGAATAAAGTGGCACCATGCTCTGGGCCGTGGAATGGAGCATGCTAGTCGTTTGTGCCGTTCTGCGAGTACCAAGATATATTGGATGGATCGTTGGCTCAATATGACGAAGTCGTCAATGTGAGGAGGATCCAAGCCTCAAAAGTCTCTTAAGGTGTTGATCAGAGACATCAGCCAAAGTTACTAAAAGTGCTGGTTGCTAACTGTGTCGAAATTGATTCAGAGACGACACGCTGGCGGAGAAATTGTGACGGGTTTGTCCCGCCTCGACATGGTGGTAGCTAGAGAAAAATATGCCTGCGATGAAGGAAGCACAAACATCGCCTGGCTCTTGAAGCTCCTCAGAAGACTCTAGTAATGCTATCATTCGCATCACACTGAGATGGGATTTAGAGTTGGGGAGAAGGGGTTCGCTCTTTGGGCATTCACCTCCTCCACATGAGAATTGCCCGGAGGGGCACCCTTATCTTATCAGTACAGAACGGGACTAGCGTCGAGTCACCTCTTTCCACAACCTAGAATTTCAAGAGACGCTCATCGGCGAGGAAAAATCAACCGACCCGACATCACGAAGCCCACGAACTGAAGCGTCATCTTTCCCCCGGTACCGTCGAAACCGTCAAGGCCAATACCTGAGTCAACAGGCGAACATAAAGTCTAAATTTTTCGACGCCCTCCGCCCGTCGCAAATCCCCTCGACAAAGCCGCCTCGACAAACTACCCCGCCATCAAAACCATCAAACTTGTCGCGACAATGTCTGCCAACGGCGATCCCAAGTACGACGATATCGACTCCGAGTCTGACTCTGGCGAGTCCGTGGAGGAGCAGACCGAGCTCAACGAGGAGAAGGGTCTCAAGCCTGCGCTCAAGAAGTCTTCGAACCCCGTTACCGCCGACACCACAGTCCAGCGCCCCCCTCTCCCCCCGCAAACCGACCCCAAAGACCTCGACGTCAAGACCCTCACCCCTCTGACCCCCGAGATCATCGCCCGCCAAGCAACAATCAACATCGGCACCATCGGTCACGTCGCTCACGGAAAGTCCACCGTCGTCAAGGCCATCTCCGGAGTTCAGACCGTCCGTTTCAAGAACGAGCTGATCCGTAACATTACCATCAAGCTTGGTTACGCCAACGCCAAGATCTACCAGTGCGACAACGCCGAGTGCCCTCGCCCGGGATGCTTCAGGAGTTACAAGAGTGAGAAGGAGGTCGACCCTCCCTGCGAGCGCGAAGGATGCAGCGGTACCTACAGATTACTGCGCCATGTCTCGTGAGTTGTCTATAGAAAGAGCTTACCCCGGAATCGTGAAATGCAAGGTGGCTAATAGTGCTCCACTTAGCTTCGTCGACTGCCCCGGTCACGACATTCTCATGAGCACCATGTTGTCAGGTGCCGCTGTCATGGACGCCGCCCTGCTGCTCATTGCCGGCAATGAAACCTGCCCCCAGCCCCAGACCTCCGAGCATTTGGCTGCTATTGAGATCATGAAGCTGGACAAGATCATTATCCTCCAGAACAAGGTCGACCTTATGCGCGAGGAGGCCGCTCAGCAACACTACCAGTCGATCTTGAAGTTCATCAGAGGAACCGTTGCCGGAAAGTCTCCCGTCATTCCCATCTCTGCCCAGCTGAAGTTCAACATCGATGCCGTCAACGAGGCCATCGTCAACACCATCCCCGTCCCGATTCGTGACTTCACCCAGGCTCCTCACATGATTGTCATTCGATCTTTCGACGTCAACAAGCCTGGTGCCGAGATCGACGATCTGAAGGGTGGTGTTGCTGGTGGTTCTATTCTGCACGGTGTCCTGAAGCTCGGCGACGAGATTGAGATCCGCCCCGGTATCGTCACGAGAGACGACAAGGGTGCCCTCAAGTGCACGCCCATTTTCAGCAGAATTGTCTCCCTCAACTCCGAGTTCAACGACCTCAAGTATGCCGTTCCAGGTGGTCTTATCGGTGTCGGTACCCGTATCGACCCCACCCTTTGCAGAGCCGATCGTCTGGTCGGTTTCGTCCTGGGTCTCAAGGGCCAGCTGCCCGAGATCTACAGCGAGATCGAGGTCAACTTCTACCTCCTGCGCCGTCTTCTCGGTGTCAGAACCGCCGACGGAAAGCAGGCCAAGGTCGCTAAGCTTACCAAGAACGAGGTCATCATGGTCAACATCGGCTCTACTTCCACTGGTGCCAAGGTTGCCGCTATCAAGAACGATGCCGCTAAGCTTGTCCTGACCAGCCCTGCTTGCACAAACATTGGCGAGAAGGTTGCCCTGTCTCGTCGTATCGAGAAGCATTGGCGTCTTATTGGCTGGGCCACCATTGCTGCGTAAGTCACCTCAGATCAGTGATGAATGTGAAATTTGCATATACTAACCGTGAAATAGTGGTGTCACTCTTGAGCCCAGCACCGCCTAAAGTCGGGCCGGACACTGAGTTTAAAAAAAATAAATCTCAAAAGCCCCTTCTTCAGCATCACAGGAGTCTAAAAAAGAATCAGTCTGGTAGAGCCGACGGGGAGTAGGGGGTTGACGGCATTTTTTGAGTACCAGGCGGGTAATGAATGCTTATGACAGGACACACCACCGCGTTAGACTTGATGTAGCCGGGGCATTAGGAGCTCTAGCAACTCGAGACGGCGTAGTGTCACGATTTCACAGGGAATTGCGAAAGGATACTAGACGGTGTATGCTGATAGATAGGCCCGGAAGATGAACAAGCCTCTTCTATTATTATTTCCTGACCTTGCGTGCATGCTTAACCAGGTTTTCTATCACGCCTTCGAAGGCTTCTCTGTCGCCTATCTTTTCGTCCGTCTTTTTCGTCCAGTATTCCAGCACCTCCTTGGCGGTGCCTTCCATTGCCTGTAGTTTCGCGACGTGGGCCTTGAGCTCCTCGTCCGTCATGCCGTTCAAAGCCTCCTCCGTCGTGGTGCAGAGTTGCTTTGCGGACACAAGGTCCAGATCCGGTGCAGTCGGCGCGCCCTTTCTCTTGGCCACCGATGGTTTCCCTTTGGAGTCAACTGACGTTGTGGATGCGTTTGCTTCTTGCCGTACCCTCGATACTGAACGAGAGTCTGAGGAAGTCCGTGGTGAGCCTGACGAGTTGACCTGCAATGAGGGAAGTACAAGCTTCTTCTGCTTGGACGCAGGGAGAATCTCGTCCAAGTCAACTGGCACGCCGAGAGAGACGAGGAAAAGGCGCCTGATGCGAGAACGGATCCAGTCTGGCGGTGCGAGCGGTGGGGGAGCCACTAGTTGAGACCATAGCGATGCGCTCCGTGGGGTGAGGAAGATGGGGTTCTCCTTCGTTAATGGCGGGGGTGGTGAAACGTCAAGCGATTCTGGAGGGAAGAGTGTGTTGAGGTATGGGTCGACCGCTTGGAGAACGTCTTCGCCATCCAGGCCATCGAAGTCGGGTATAGACTGAGATATGGACGTTAGCTTCGTCGAGCGCGTACTTTATCTAGATACTTACCAATGGTAATGACGGAACTTGCCGCAAGGCCGGCGCAGGCGCAGGTGCTGGGGCAGGCGCATCGAATTCTGGTTGTTGGAATCCATCGTCAAAGTCGTCAAAGCCACCGTCCCCTTCCTCCCCCTCTTCGAAGTCGTCAAAATCGTCACCAAAGTCGTCGTCATCGCCATCGCCGTCTCCGTCTTCCTCATTGGGCGGCGGTGCGAGGCCAGCACTCGAAGGAGCAGAGGACAATATATTCTTTGACGGTTTCCGTCTCATACAAGGGGAGCCTGGAGGAGCGGAAAGCGCAGGTGATACAGGTGGGACATCTACGAAGGACGCCAGGTCAATGACGAATGCTCTTTAAATTTCAGGGATCTCTACATCGTACCGGTGTTGCTGCCGTCATCCTTGACATCGTCCTCCGCCTTGAGGACCAAGTCGGCCGGTGCATCTGCCTTACGCTTCTCTGCGTATTCCTCTGAATGCGGCCCTGACGTGCCCGGCACCTCCTCGACAACCGTCTTGGGGATGGGTTGCCCGCCTGGTGAGGGTGGCGGAACGGCATCTGAGGAGGTCTCTTCTTCGCTTTTGTTCTCCTGGATAGCAATCTCGTCCGGTTCGGCGTCGCCCTCCCTCATGCGGTAAGCCTCCGTGCCGGGAACCTCGCCGTATGACGGCTCGTCGTCGACCTTCTCTACACGGGTCTTGGGGATAGGCGACGTTCCGGGGCTGAGAGGGGCGGACTGCGCATCGGAGAAGTGATCTTCTGAGTCGGACTCAGCTAATGAATTGTTAGACAAACTGGGACGATCATCTAGGGAGCGAGGGGTGACAAGGGGGGTCTTACCCAGATCGTGCGCACCAGGATCGCTGATGCTAGACCGCTTGGGCGGCGAAAGGGTCTCGTCTTCTTTCATGGTTTTGAGATGACGCCAATTGCGAGCTGTCAGGAAGTGATCTGGGAGGATGCAAACACTCAAGGCAGTTTGAGAGTTATCGATGATGAGGAATAGGAGTGGATGTGGAGGGGGTAACCTGTCGATTAGCGGATACGTCAGGTGTGGGCCAAAGGAGGGACGTTGCACGATGGTATCCCCAGGGTCAGAGTTCTAGCCCGCAACTCTTTGAGAACCAGAGGTGAAGAAGGCTTTCGGCCCCTGAGAAGACCAGAAAGAATAGACTTCTTGGGCAGGGAGGCAGGGCATTAAGCAAGCCCGAAGATGGCCATCAGGAACTGCGCAGCTCTAGGTCAGCTCGCCAAGCATCACGTGGGGCTAGACCCGGCTAAATCGCGCTAGTACCTATCAGTGAGTCTGAAGGTCACCATAAGTCCCTGGTCCCGGCGCAGCAGGTACCAGTCCAGCCCAGCGCGCCAGTGCGCCAGTCGCGTGGAGGCAGACCTGAAAGGCTGGAGCATCACAAAAAAAAGCTGTCGGTCGTTGTCAACAGCTATCCTTCCTCCGACAAGCAGCCTTTATACCCCATCGCAATTTCCCTGCGCAGCTCGACATACGGTCACCGACTGCGATTAGACGGCGGGAATACTTTTGGGGGTTCGATTCGCAACCCAATGCGAAGATAGTGAACAGCAACAGCCCAAAACCCCTTACTGAAGCAACTGGCGACTTGCAGCCTGCGAGAAATCGTCAACCATCACCTAGACAACATCAACCGATCGACATACGAAGCTCCGAGCACGATGTCCTTCAGCTTCGGAAACACAAGCGGCACGCCTACATCAGGCAGCGGCACGAACCCGACGACTTCTGCGCCAGCATCCGGAGGTCTTTTCGGCGGCGCGGCTGCTGGAGGAGCGGGCGGTGGCTTTTCCTTTGGCAACTTGGGCAGCAACACGCCTGGAGGAGCTGCAGCAGGCTCAAGCAGCGGCACTCCTGCTGCCGGTGGAGGTCTCTTCGGTGCGAGCACCGGTCAGAAGCCCGCAGGCGGTGGCCTCTTCGGCAGCACGACACCAGCATCGACTGGAACACCGGCATCGACTGGCGGCGGTCTCTTTGGAGCGAAGCCTGCGGCAGGCGCATCTACCCCAGCCGCTTCTGGTGGCCTTTTCGGAAACACAAGCTCGAGCACGCCCAGCACATCCGCTCCGGCATCAGGAGGTCTCTTTGGCGGAGCCGCGAGCGGCACTCCCGCCGCTGCATCGGGAGGTCTCTTCGGAGGAGCTGCGGCGTCTAAACCAACCTCTAACCTCTTCGGTGGTGGAAACACGGCAAGCCCTGCTCCCGCCGCTGGCGGTCTCTTTGGACAGAATGCCTCATCAACTCCTTCATCAGCCCCTGCACCTGCGGCTGGAGGACTCTTCGGCGGTATGAAGCCTGCGGCGTCTGGCACACCAACCGCCCCGGCAACAACAGCGACGCCCGCGAAGCCTGCCTTCTCCCTCGGAGGATCAACTACACCTGCTGGAGCTCCTCCGACTGCCGCGGCCAAGCCTGCCGCTGGCGGTCTCTTCGGCGGCGCCGCGGCATCTGGCTCAGCTGCCCCCTCTCCTTTCGGTGCTGCGGCCGCGGCTAAGCCGGCAGAGAGCAACGCCGGCGGTCTCTTTGGCGGTGCTGCCCAGTCCAAGGCTGCTTCAACCGCACAGCCTGCAAGCACAGGAGGCCTTTTCGGTGGTGGAGCTCAGACAACACAAGCGCCTGCCGCCGGTGGTCTCTTTGGCGCTGCAAAACCAGCTGCCTCTCCTGCTCCAAGCGCTGGGGGTTTGTTCGGCCAAACTGCTGCTACCACATCTGCTCAGCCCGCTTCCACAGCTACAGCAGCTCCTGCTGCCGGTGGGCTCTTTGGGGCCGCCGCTGCTAAGCCTGCTACTCCTGCCACTACTGCCGCGCCCGCTGCTGCAGGTGGTCTCTTCGGCAACGCAGCTTCGACACCCGCAGCTTCAACAGCTCAGCCGGCGGCCAGCGCCGGAGGTTTGTTCGGTGCAAAGCCCGCTGCCACCACGGCCGCCACCCCGGCTGCTACGACTACTGCTGCCCCTTCATCTCTGTTCGGCGGCGCGTCGTCCACCGCCGCCGCTCCCGCGTCCAAGCCTGCCGGTGGCCTCTTTGGAGCTGCCCCAGCTGGCACATCTCAGCCTGCTGCCGCCACCACTGCGGCAGCTACTCCCACAGCAACCACAACGTCGGCTACCGCTGCCACCCCTGCCGCCGCTGGCGGTCTCTTCGGCGCGAAGCCATCTACTCCCGCTGCTACTACGACCCAGACCAGCACCGCGCCCGCTGCAAGCACGGCCGCTGCCGGTACTTCAAATGCTATGCTTGGTGCCTCTACCACTGGCCCAACTTCCCAGCTGCCTCGCCTGAAGAACAAGTCCATGGACGACATCATCACTCGCTGGGCCTCAGACTTGTCCAAGTATCAGAAGGACTTCAAGCATTACGCCAATCAGGTCGCCGACTGGGACCTGGGACTCGTCGACAACGGCGAGAAGATCCAGAAGCTCTACCTCAACACATTTGAGGCTGAGAAGGCGAGCCACGAGATTGAGCGCCAACTGCAGGCTGTCGAGAGCCAGCAGGATGAACTGGAGGAGTGGCTGAACCGCTACGAGACCGAGGTGAAGGAGATGTTCTCCAAGCAGATGGGTCAGGGCGAGACCCTTGCTGGACCTGATCAAGAGCGCGAGCGTACTTACAAGCTGGCCGAAAAGCTCACGCAAAACCTCGACGAGAAGAGCAGAGATCTGTCCAAGATGGTTAAGGAGATTAATGACATTTCCGGCACTCTGAGCAAGGGCACCAAGCCCGAGGATCCTGTAAGTTGCCCACGAAACTCGCTTGGACATGCAAACGCTAACAACCTTGTAGTTGAGCCAGATTGTCCGTGTTCTCAACGGCCACCTGTCGCAGCTGCAGTGGATTGACACCAATGCTGCTTCTCTACAAGCTAAGGTGTCTGCTGCTCAGAAGGCAAACAATAACCTGGGAAGTCAATACGGAGCTCCGGAGACGGATGCGGCGGAGAGCTTCTACCGGTCTTACATGGGTCGGCGTTGAAAGGAACGGGGTAGATCAATTAATTTTCACGGTAGCACACGAGAGATTGGGAATCGACACGAAGACTCCAAGACGGAGGGACATTAATGGCTCAAGCCTGGACTTTTGAACTCGCTCGGATTGAGTGGGATGGTCGGCACGTGGGGCGGGTGCATCCCATATGTACATGTACACTAGCCTAGAATGTGGTGAATACCAGGTGTTGACAAGACAGCTTTCGATTTCGATGGTTTCGATGATTTGTTTGGGAAGCAGCTACAAAAATGCGCCAGTTCCTGTGGATATCAATCTTCATGCGTATGCGTCCATTCCGGGCGTTTCATTTGTGTTTTTTTCTGGACCGGCTCTGTCGGGTACTGTGGCAATGACGTTGCTTAGTTGTGTTCTCCACCCTGGTTCTTGGTGATCTCGTCGCTGTTGAAACCGATTGTTAGTGGAACTGAAGCTGGTGAGAAGACATGTTTTGCGAGACATACATGTGGTCAGAGAGCTGCTGCAGGTGAGCCTGCTGCTCGGCGAGCTTCTTCTTGAGCTCGAGGAGCTTCTCGCGCTCACGTTGGCGGATGGCCATATCCTCAGCGGCCTTCTCACGGCGCTGGAAAGCGTCACTGCGAATGATCAGCATTTGAGGAGCAGGAGAACACATGAACGATCGGCGGTAGTTGCCAAACCATCGTACGATGCGATTGAGCGAAAAAGAACTCACCCTTGACCACCCATCTTGGGAGGAGCTCCAGTGTCGCCCTCGGACATAGCTCTGCTGGTGGTGGTAAAGGCAGCTCTGGAAGCAAGGGTCAGAGGGCGGGCAGCGGCCTTGGTGGCAGCGACGCGAAGCATTTTGGCGGTGTTTGGAGGAGTGATTTGAAAGAGTAGGATGTACAATAGCAAAACAATCGCAGTTGAGGTTTGGGTTGTCAAGATGGCCGATGACGATGGTGCTGGGACCTTCGCTTTTTGTGATAGGTTGGATTGTGGAGGTGGGTGGTCGGTGCTGACGAGCGCTAGAACGGAGGAAAGGGAGATCTCGGTGCTGGTTAAATGCCTATTGGCAGGAGGGACCGAATAGAGGGGAGCTGCGGCTGTGATTTTGTGTGGCTACGCTCCTCTTAGGCCCTTCTGCCTGCCATGATCTGATCCTTGGAACGAACCTGGCCTTGGAAGGCGTTGGAGGGCGAGGGAGCTTTCGGTCAACTTCTTTACCCGAGTACGGGAAGTGATACGTCATTTTTACTGTAGGTTGAGGTACTTTGCTAACAAGGAACCTGCCGGCATTTCTCGGCTTCGATGCTTGGTGGGCAGAATAATTGAATAAGACCATATTTACTCAGGCCACTGATATCGCCCGCTTCCGGTCAGCGGGAGGGCGCTTTGCCTTGTCCAAACTGTTGGGACTGGCAGCTGGACGAGTAAGCATTTCGTCCATGTACCAAGCCCGCATAATTCCGCGATAGATGGCGGCCTTGTCCCTGCAGCATGGACGACCACGACCAATGCTACTGACTGCCTTTCTGCTAGAATCCGTGCATGATTGATTGTACCTCATCAGGGCTCCTGTAAGAGTCATCAAGCTCGTGACTTTCTCCGCCCGGCTCGTGTGGTGATGGACGACAGACCACGAAACAGATTCGGATAGGCTAGCCGGTCTCCAGATCTACGAAGTGCCGTCCGAGAGCAGTAGGGTAGCCTTGAGGTCATGTCATCTCCGGCAAGGCTGAATCTGGTTCACGACTGGGATGTCCCTCTGGTAGCTTGAGATGGGAAAGATGGGGGAGATGGGTTGGGCGATCTGTCTCTTGCAAGATGGCGCGGCTGACGGGGTTTGTCGCGCACGAGTGGTGCGACGTTCTCCGTCTTTGTCTTGCAAGGTGAGGTGCCCTTAGTGGAGAGAGCGAGGCGGCTACTAGGCGCCGTATGTCGGCCGTATGTGTAAGTGCTGCCTCGACGAGCATGTCTCCGCCTTGCTGAGCCTAGTTCTTATGATGATAGCTGCGATTTCGCTCCGTCTCGATGCATTGGAAATGTACAAAAAGGGCACATGGTTTCTGGTCTAGAACCCAGACAGGCAGGGGCCACCGAGGAAGCACCTAATTATGGTTCAAACGGGACTGCCGCTACCCAACTACAGGCAAGGCAGCGGGACTGCACAAGTGCCTGAACTCAAAGGACGACACCGATGAGCACGGAGGACGGCGATTGCATGAAAAGAAGAGACGAAGTGGGATGGGGAGACGGGAAGGAGGGGTTCGGCTTCGGTTTTTGGCATTTGGAGTCCCTGATATGCGTGTGGCATGCCACCTAGCAGACTGCAGAGCTGGAGAAGCCTGCGGTAGCTCACTGTCTGAACATGCCTCCTTATCACCGTGGGCTAGGAGGAAGCATGAGCATCAACATCAGCATTAACGCGCTGAAAAGTGACGCGAAGAAACGCAGCATGGCTTATCAATATAGTACATGGCTGCAGCAAGAGACAGGCATTCGTACTTGCTGAGGTCATCAAGACTTGCTCCCGCTGGTGCACTTGGACTGCCTGGTGCCAGGTATTGCTTGTCAGCCGGCGGCAGCAGAGGCATTCGTGCTGGAGTCCACCGACCAAGGCCGACGGCCCTGGGGAAGGGGCGCCGCGTGCTGGGGAAGTCGATCCACGCAAATAAAGAGCATCCGACGCCAGGTACCGCTTTGTACCTCTGCTGTCCCCCCACCGTGCGTCGCAGAGTCAGGTTCGCAATAAAGGGGGAAGGAAACCCAGCAATTGAACGCGAGGAAGGCACGATTCAAACAGACTTTGGCGGCGCTGAGGGGGAGATTCGATAGCACTTTCCCCTCCCCAGACCCTCAAAAGGCATACGCAGTCTCAGCCGCAGCGCACAGCCGCCACACCTTATGCTACCTCGCGGTACCTTACCTCACCTGGGCTGGGCACCTACTATGTAGAGGTGAGAGGTGAGGTAAGGAAGGCATCTCTGTCCAGTCAGTCCCGTCGTCTGGGCTGCTCCAGGCCGCCTAGGTAGCTAAGGCAATTCACGTGAGCCAGCCATTCCAGGGCTAGCAGTACCAAAACACAAGGGCACCTGCTACAGTGGATGCGAAAAAGGGGATTGGCCAGCGTGCTTGCTCGTCCAAGCCAGCCAGTAAGGTACTGTCTAGTGAATGTCGGGCCCCCGTTCCCAGTCCAGTCCCAGCAGGTCCCGGTCCACGTCCAGTCCAGTCCCCAGCCAGTCTACCACGTCCAGTCGCTCCCAGGCCCAGTCACTCACTGGTCAGTCGCCGCCTTGTCTTGCCCGGTGCAGTGTCCAGAGCCCCTTCCTCAATTTCCATCCACCACCTTTTCGTCTCATCGACTTTCCCAACTTCAAAACTCTCGCACTACATTAGCAAACGTCAACACACCCGCCTCTTTTTACCCTTCGACGCATCCCCTTCCCCTGCTCCGGATCTTTCGAGTTTCGACACGGGATTTATCCATTGCCAACTATCCATCGTTCCACCAGAACATCCCCGCCGTCTTCAAAACATCGCACCAAGGTACGTGGTCCCCTCCCCCATCCCCCGTGCCCCCTCTGTCGTCATCGCATCCCTCGCCGCAATCTCCTTCCACCGATTCCCAACAACCGCCCTCGCCAAAGACCGGGCGACCGCTCCGAGACGATGCCGTCCATGCCTTGATCTCTTCCCGATTGAACGCCTCAACAAGTTCGCGCGCCCTATCAAGATCGGTCAGACGCGAAACCCCACCAGGAGCGGGGAGCCTCATTCAAGTGATGAAGTCAGCGAGGCGCATACGCTGCGGTTCGCCCTATCCGTCCTCAATCGCCGTGCCCGCCCTGTCACCCTCAATTTGCCTTCTTCGGCGCCTCTCGTATCGAGTTCTTCCTGATTCTCCATTTTGAGCGCACAATCACCGTCGCCGCCGCCTACACGTGCTAATCCGTCTCGACCGCCACAGATCATAACCGCCAAAATGGGTCACGAAGATGCTGTGTACTTGGCCAAGCTTGCTGAGCAGGCTGAGCGCTACGAGGGTACGTGGTTTCCGTTGCTCATGTCCGATGGATTATACTGATTAACGGGCTTCCAGAGATGGTCGATAACATGAAGATCGTGGCCTCTGAGGACCGTGACCTGACCGTCGAGGAGCGCAACCTGCTCTCCGTTGCTTACAAGAACGTCATCGGCGCCCGTCGTGCCTCCTGGAGAATCGTCACCTCCATCGAGCAGAAGGAGGAGTCTAAGGGCAACTCTTCTCAGGTCGGTCTGATCAAGGAGTACCGTCAGAAGATCGAGGCCGAGCTCGCCAAGATCTGCGACGACATCCTTGACGTTCTCGACAAGCACCTCATTCCCTCCGCCAAGTCTGGCGAGTCCAAGGTTTTCTACCACAAGATGTAAGGATGGACGTCCAAATTGGCTATTCGAAAGCAATACTGATTAAGTGAACAGGAAGGGTGACTACCACCGCTACCTCGCCGAGTTCGCCGTTGGTGATCGCCGCAAGGACTCCGCCGACAAGTCTCTCGAGGCCTACAAGGCTGCCACCGAGGTTGCCCAGACCGAGCTTCCCCCTACCCACCCCATTCGCCTTGGTCTCGCCCTCAACTTCTCCGTCTTCTACTACGAGATCCTTAACGCTCCCGACCAGGCCTGCCACCTGGCCAAGCAGGCTTTCGATGATGCCATTGCCGGTTAGTACTACCGATATCTATGCTATGACTCGTTTGCTGACTATGCTATCAGAGTTGGACACTCTTAGCGAGGAGTCCTACAAGGACTCTACCCTCATCATGCAGCTGCTCCGTGACAACCTGGTAAGACAAATCAACGTTTCTGTCAAAGATAGTCGCTAACTCCTTTTAGACCCTCTGGACCTCTTCTGAGGCTGAGCCCGCGGCGTCAGGCGCCGCTGAGGCCCCCGCTGCGGCCAAGGAGGAGGGTGCCGCCGAGGCACCGGCTGCTACCTCTGAGGAGCCCAAGGCTGAGTAAGGGGTTGGTTTCGTAGCATTCATTCTCTGCAAACCTGCGTTATTCGCCGGAATTTGGGTGGACTGGTGTCTACGGAGTGTGGACTGGAGATTTCATTTTGCGAAAGGCATCGTTTAGGCAATACACAAGAATCGTGAGGGGTTGATTTTTCCTACGGGACTAGCTGAGGCTAAAGAAGAGCATTTTGGAGGTCGTACCCAGGTTTGCTTTCTTAGACTCTAATGCAAGACCGTCTGGACAACAACAAAAAAAGACTAAAATTGCTTCCAAAAAAGCACACCCGGCAGCTTTTGAACATTGGCAGAATGTGATGCTTGCACTGTAGAGATTGACCACAAGAATTTGACACGCAACTCACTTATCTGCAGCTAGGGCTCGTTTTGTGTTTATAATTCATCTCACTCATCCACTATAGTGAAATGGACCTTCATCCACAGACTGCAATCTTGACATCCAACAAGCAATTCCCCGTTCTCACCCGCCTCCTCCAGATCTCCCTCCGTGAATAAGAAGCCTCGGGAGTTCCCGCACCTACAGCTGCGGTACCAACACTCCTGTCCTTCGTCGAATTCCAAATCGTCAAGATCCACGTTCTCGATACCCGTCTGGAACGCCTCCTCCCGCTTTAAGCCTTGGTTGTTGGGTGCGAGATCGAGAGACCTGTCATAGTCCGCCTTGAGCTTGGTATCCGACAGGACCTTGTATGCCGTGGAAATTTGATCAATTGTCAAGACGTCAGATTTCGCTGGCGACCTTGAGCTTGCCGAATCTGAGGGTGTAGATCCGTCACCCTTTAGTTGTGGGTATTTATCCGGGTGGTTCTGGAGAAGAGCCCTGTGGTAGGCCCGCTTGATGACTTGTTGCGACTGATCTGCGGCTTGTTCCTGCAGCAGCTTGCGGGTGAGACAGAGGACTGTGTAGTGGGTGTGGCCGCCCGGTGCTGCAGGGGAGGAACTCATGTTGAGCGTGGAAGGGGGGTGAAAATCCCCGTGTAGTTGATGCTGGGCGATTTTGTAAGTGAAATTTTCTGGCGAATTGGAGCTTGAGGAGACACTGATTATGGGTCACGTGAGGGGAGAGGACTGGATGGCCCAACTCAACTTGTGCATCCAAAGTGATCATGGGAGAAATGATGCGCAATGCAAAATCCAGTGAGGTGCTGAAGACACTTGTCCAAAGTCACTGTGAATGTCATAGACATGCTGTCATAGTAGTGGCAGGTATGGTCGGTGTGAGCGACGAGTCGCAGCATGACATGGGCGAACAGCTTTGGGAGTTGTGTGATTCGTTTCTTGTACATGATAATACATGGTATATGTACAGCGTCTAAAGCCATTGACGCCTCGTAAGTTGAACAGGGAAAGTGATCGTTTATTTGGGGAACCTCTTCCAGTTTCTCTTTCCAACCTATGCACCTCGTCAGTATGCATGCTCCAAAAACACCATGCGTAAACAGTCGACTTACCTTCTTCCACTCCTTGATAAGCTTGGGCATCGCCAGCATAGCCTCTCTCCTCTTCTCCATCCTGAAGCACTTTGTCAGTTGTTGGTCCTCCAAGACGACATGGCATGACGATATACCTGGGCATGACCATTCTCTCGTGAATCTTTCCCTTGACCTTTTGTCCCACACCCGTACCCTTGACCCTCAGACCAAACTCGACACGCTTGGCGATGCGAGCCTCGGTACCCTTGACCGTGGGCGGCAGAAGCTCCTCGACACCATTTTGGCGTGCGAGCTTGACGAGCTCGGCTTGTCGACGCAACGAGTAGACAGGGTCATGCCACTTGCCGGTATCGGGGTGCTTGTGGGCGGCGAACGGATTCGGCGTGAGCTCTTGGAAGCCAGTCTTGGGAGCGCCGGCGGGAGCAATAGAGGCGGGTGGCCAACGAGCGAAGAAGCGCTGTAGTTGCTCCGGCAAGGCCTTGGCCAGCGCGATGTGCTTTTGTGCTGACATTTTTTTTTCCGTGGTTTCCTCCTCTTAGGTGACCTCCTTTGGTCGATTGAACGGGTGTGCCGTACGATTGAACACCCTCCCTAGACGTCGAGAGAATCGTGTGCCGTTCGGAGGTTCGGGGAGGAATTGGAGGGGTTTCGCTGGTCGACACGGGCTTCTCTGTACGATTCGATGCCGGCGACGATGTTGGCTGCGAGACAAATTTGGCCAGCCTTATCCACCCCTGTACATGCAGGTGCAGGGGAGGGAAGCTCGGTGCGAGAGAGGGGCAAGTATTGCCGATCGCGACGCTATATGATTGGCCTCTCAACTGTGGCAGCTAAACTGTGGCGCGTGTTGCAGCCTTCTCCATCTGAGGAATGATATCCGTCAGCTCGATATTTGTCGCCGCAACTACAGCTGCAGCTTCAATCACCACCCCGCGCAATTTGTTAACTTCCTTCGTGTATTACACAACGGAAGGAGGCCACAGGCTGAAGCGACGTGTGGAAGCTTTTCATGAGTGACCTCGATGGCCCGTGCACCCATTAGACGCGCCACGATAGATTGTGTAAGGCTACAACCCAGCCGACCTTCGCCGTCTTTAAACACCAACCCATCATTACCATCAGGCCCAAGATGAGCAAACGCGCCCCTTTAGATTTGGAGGAGATTCTCCGTCAAAAGAAGGCCGCAGCCGCCGAGGCAGCGAAGCCTCGTTTCATCCCAAAAAAAGAGCGCGAGAGACGGGCGGCGGAAAAGGCAGCAGCAGAGCAAGAGGAGCAAAAGCGGAAAGCCGAAGCTGAGGCGCGCGAAAAGGCCGAACGGGAGGCGAAGTGGCTGGCAAAGGCGAACACCAGTAACGGAAGAAATGTCACGAACGGCACAAACGGCACAAATGGCATCGGCGCCCCCGATCGAGTCCCGACCGGCCCAAAAGCTATGAACCAGCACGACGATGGCGGACGACGACGAGGACGGGACAAGCCCGAACCGAAAAAGGCGACAACGAAAGACGGAAAAGAGAAGAAATCAGCCGACACGATCGAAGCAGAGCTACTGCGCAACCGATATCTCGGCCCGGAAGTCAATAAGGAGTCGAAATTTTCCGTCAAGAAGAAGCGGAAGAGAGCAGCCGAGTTCAAGTTCGATTGGGACGCCGAGGAAGACACCACGCGAGACGATGATCCTTTATACGAGTCAAGCTTGGCGCTCAAGTCATACACATTTGGCAGTCTCGCAGGCGAGTTCAACGCAGAGGCTGAAAGTATTGCACTTGCCAGAGCCAAAAGGATTGAGCAGACGGACGCTGAGAACGGCAAGAGACGCGCTCAGGAGTTTATGGACGACTTTTACAAGGCTCGAGACCGAGCGAAGGAGCGCGCAGATCGTACAGGTCTTACGAAGCACTGGTCCAAGAAGGCCCTCGACGAGATGCGCGAGCGAGACTGGAGAATTTTCAAGGAGGATTTCGGCATCGCAACGAAGGGCGGTCTCATCCCCAACCCGATGCGCAGCTGGCAAGAGTCTGGTCTACCCCGACGATTGCTCAATATCATCGATCAAGTTGGGTACACAGAGCCGTCGCCCATCCAGCGAGCCGCCATCCCCATCGCGCTGCAAGCCAGAGATCTTATCGGTGTTGCCGTCACAGGTTCCGGTAAAACTGCTGCGTTCTTGCTACCGCTGCTTGTCTACATCTCAGACTTACCGCCACTCACCGAGGTCAACCGCAACGACGGCCCCTACGCACTCATTTTGGCACCGACGCGTGAACTGGTTCAGCAGATCGAGACCGAGGCGAAGAAGTTCGCCGGCCCTCTTGGTTTTAGAGTAGTCAGTATCGTCGGTGGTCACTCTCTGGAAGAACAGGCATTCGCGCTGCGCAACGGTGCCGAGATCATTGTCGCAACCCCCGGTCGTTTGGTAGACTGCATCGAGCGACGCCTCTTGGTCCTCTCGCAGTGCTGCTACATCATCATGGATGAAGCTGATCGCATGATCGATTTGGGTTTTGAGGAGTCGGTCAATAAGATTCTCGATGCCTTGCCCGTGACGAACGAGAAGCCAGACACCGAAGAAGCAGAGAATGCAGCTATTATGAAGAGGTATCTTGGTGGAAAGGACCGGTACAGACAGACAATGATGTACACGGCCACGATGCCACCGCTCGTTGAGAAAATCGCGAAAAAGTACCTACGGCGACCAGCAATTGTCACAATCGGTAACGCTGGCGAGGCTGTTGACACGGTCGAGCAGCGGGTGGAGTTTGTATCCGGCGAGGACAAGCGCAAGAAGCGTCTGCAGGAAATCCTTGCGTCCAACGAGTATGCTCCACCCATCATCGTATTCGTCAACATCAAGCGCAATTGCGACGCTGTCGCGAGAGACGTCAAACATATGGGTTACTCGGCGGTCACCCTTCACGGAAGCAAGACCCAGGAACAGAGAGAGGCAGCCCTTGCTTCCGTCCGAGCTGGTCAGACAGATGTTCTTGTCGCCACAGACTTGGCTGGAAGAGGTATCGATGTGCCGGACGTGTCCCTGGTCATCAACTTCAACATGCCGTCAAGCATCGAGGCGTACACCCATCGTATCGGTCGTACGGGTCGTGCGGGCAAGAGCGGTGTCGCCATTACGTTCCTCGGCAACGAAGATACCGATCTGTACTACGACCTTAAGCAGATGCTCTCCAAGAGCTCACTTTCCAGGGTACCGGAGGAGCTTCGTCGGCATGAAGCCGCACAGTCGAGACCTGTCAAGAGACACAAGATGGCCTAGCGGGGCCTGTAGACTAGGTTGTTATGAATAATGGAATGGCGTACTCGGAACAGGGTTTCTCGGGAGGGCAGCCGCTGTGTCCTGTAGTCCAAAAAAGTAATACCGGTGCACACATACCATGTTTCGTTCTTGTCGCTGGGTTTCTGTATCGCCTCTCTTCAACCAGTATATCTGCATACATCATCCTCGCCATCGCACGCTCTGCTTTCAAAAAACGTTCCAACAAAAAGCTCTGGTGAATAATCTTCAGCGGGAAACATTTCAGATCGGAACAACCCCATTCTTGGGACGGGGTCGGGGGTCGCTTGCGCACTTTTGAAGCCCACAGGCCACGGGCGCACTGAAACCATCGAACTGCAGTACCACCCAAATAGATGACGACCCCACCACACGATGGACCTCCTGCCGCGATTATCGTGATAATCTACTATGTCCGAGCCAAAAGCGTTCGGCGCCTCGGGGCTGGTGGCGGGGCAAATGCTGCTCCCTGCCAAAGTGTGCCTGACAGCGGGGAAGGATTCGGGGTTTCCAAGGCTAGCTCCCGCCGACCAAGCCAAGTCAACCCCACCACGGGTCACTTTTTTCTCGGTCTGATGTCAGGGCCCCGGGGCGTTCTGGGCCTGGGCTGCGCAAGGCGCCTGCAACTTGCTGCAAAAGAGTGCGGAATCAGTTTGAACCCAAGACTTTGAAGAGAAAAATTTTGACATGTTCCCTTCCCTTGTTCCGCATCCACGGAGCCCGAAGGCTACTGGGTACGGTAGGTAGTGCTAGCTTCACAGTTTACTGCTTCTGCTGCGCCTAAACACTCCACAATTTTCGGATCTTCACCGTTTCCCATTTCACATGGTTTTTGTATAAGTATTAACCCTGAGGGGTCGTCGGCCAAGTCATGACTTGAGAGGGTTGGCAATTACTCCCCCGTTCCCCTCTCTTTCCCTCCCTCTCTGCTCTTGGGCTCCCTCCTCGTCCTCTTCGACCTCCACGTGTTAGCGCGCGCGGTTTTTTGTCCTTCTTGTTGAACAGAGGAGGCACTTTGTCACTGCTGGCTAGCTCGATCGACACTGTGATCCGGAGCCACTAAGCCCGCCCCGGTATCGGTAGACTTTTCTCATTCGCCCAGCCTGCGACAGCAAAGAAAAACCGACAAGAAAAAACGGTCTCTTGGGAACGCGCTCCGAGTGACCGACACTCTGTACGGCTACTTTTCGCAGTTGCCCCGCGCCCACCGTCCTATGGTCATCCCACCTCCCTGATTCAACTCAGCACGAGGGGGAGCAGTGAGGACAGTGCTGAATAGACTTCTATTCATCCGTCCTGCACTTGCTCCTTTCTGGCGCATCTGTTACATTTTGCTGCCTGCGGCCGCAGCTGCTGCTGAGCGATATTGCGTCTTGTGCGGCAAAACGGCCAACAAGCACCAAGCAAGCATATAGGATCAGCCAGCAAACAACCAATCCATCCCCCTCTTTTTCACCGACCTTTGCTGCGGCATTACTGCGAGGGGTTTTGGCCCTTCGTCCGCCCTCTGTCCTACCTACGACGACGACATAAAGCAGAGGTAGATTGTGCGACATATCTGTTCCAGTTATCAACATGATGGACACTGCAGGCGCCGCCATGGACATCCCCCACCATGATGCTCCGGTCTCGTTGAAGAAGAGCCGCACCGCGGCGTTGGAGGCGATTGAGGACATTGTGTACGGATCTGTAAGTCGCGCGCCCCCCGTCCCTAAAGCTGTAGAGGAAGTCTTCTAACGAGGGCATTTCGCACAGGTCGCCGGTGTAGTCGGCAAATACATCGAATACCCCTTCGACACGGTCAAGGTCCGACTTCAATCCCAGCCCGACAACCAGCCCCTCCGCTACAAGGGCCCGCTTGACTGCTTCCGCCAGTCTATCAAGGCCGAGGGTGTCCTCGGTCTTTACCGCGGCATCAGCGCCCCGCTCGTCGGCGCCGCTCTTGAGAACAGCAGCTTGTTCTTCTTCGAACGCATCGGTCGCGCCGCGGTCTACTCTTCCGGCATAACACCCCAAGGCCAAGAGCTTTCTCTGGGCGCGCTCTGGTTCACAGGCGCCTTCTCCGGCTTCTTCACATCCTACGTCCTGACACCGGTCGAGCTCGTCAAGTGCAAGATCCAGGCGCCTGCGAGGGCAGACGGCTCCGCGCCGCCACAGCTGCGCCCGCTGGCCGTCGTGCGCGATATCTACCAACACAATGGCATCAAGGGTTTTTGGGTCGGCCAAATGGGCACGCTGATCCGCGAATCGGGCGGTTGCGCCGCATGGTTCGGCAGCAAGGAGACAGTGACCAAGCTGTTTTACCACCTCAACGGTAGGGCGGCGAAGAGCCAGTCGGAGAAGGAGGCGCTCGCTGCGAAGCCGTTGCCGCTATGGCAGCAGGCTCTGGCGGGAGCCTCTGGTGGTGTCTCGTACAACTTCCTCTTCTTCCCCGCCGACACGATCAAGTCGCGCATGCAGACGGCAGCCATCGGCGATGCGACGCGGGGCCGGACGTTCTGGCAGGAGGGTGCTGTCGTATGGCAGCAACATGGGTTGAGGGGGTTGTACCGGGGATGCGGCATCACTTGCCTGCGCTCCGCGCCCAGCTCGGCCTTCATTTTCATGGTTTTTGACGGTCTCAAGCGACAATTCCCCATGCAGTAGACTTTCCGTTTCTTCGTTTTTGATATCCTAGACTTGGGCGGGTAGATGGGTTTTGCTTTGGTCCATAAAATGGCATTTTGGAGGGCGTAGCGGGACGGCTGGTATATACATAAACAGATGTAAAATGTTCTTCACATGAGATTAGAAGAGGTAGACGTGAGCATGGATATCAACCTTTTTCTGTCATTTATTGGTTTTAGAAAACCTAGGGGAGTTTTTCTCAGAAGACAAATTGAACGCCTACAAAAGTCACATTTGATTTAACTCTTGTTTTTGTTCTTTTCCGCCCTTTTCGGTGCCAACGCAACCTGAACCCAAGTAGCACTACTCCTTCTTGCCAGCGGCGGCCCTCTCCTCGGCGCCCTTGAGATCCCAGTTGTTGAGGTATCCAGCGCCGGCGCAGAGGTAGGTAGCGAAGCCGAGCCAGCCGAGGTAGGGGACAAGGAGACCTCCGGCGACACGGTCGACGGAGCCCCACAGGTAGGTCAGGTAGGAGTTCACTCCGAGCAGAGCCACGATATCGACAGTGGCCTCAATTGGGCGTTTCCAGACGAAGAAGAGGGGCATCCAGATGAGGTTGAGGCCGAGCTGGATGGTGTAGAGGGTCGCGCCTTGCTTGGTCATGTTGATTTGCTCAATTGTAGAGAAAGGAGAGAGCCCGTTGTGGACGGCGCGGTAGGCGGCGTAACCCATCATGCTGTTTATTCCATGTCAGCTCATGCATGAATGGAGGCGTCGAAGGGAGGCATACCCATAGAGGAGAGTCCATACGGGACCAAAGACGTACGGCGGGGGGCGCAGGGGCGGGTTCTTGATGGCGGCATAGGTCTTTTGGGTATCTTTGGCTGCGGCCGTTTGGGTTAGCAAATTGAAGGTCGCGCGGAGAGACAGATAGACTCACGTCTAGATGAGTAGCCGACGGCTGTTCCTAGAGCAATGGGCAACAGGATCGAGGCCGCGGCATTCTCGAATACCTGGTGGGGTAAGGTCAGGGCGGGGATGAAGGTCGTCATGTCTGTGGCTCGGTAGGTTATGGAAACGTATCAACTTGAACGATGCAACGTCAGCAGATGCAGTTGAGAAGAGTTGGCGATGTTTGTTATAATATAGGAGAGGTGCGTCGAGGTCTATGTTCGTCTGGAACATGCGATGGTATGCCTCGGGGCGGGTCCTGCTCCGACATGCGAGATAGCTACAGAGCTATGACGCAATGTATTGAATTTCACTGGTAACTGGCACTTTTACACGACCTTTGTAATGAAAAGGGAAATGGGGAACACAAATGCCGAAAGTGGGTGATGAACTTACGATTCAACAGGTGATTAGCAATTCTTGAGAAAGGACTGGCTAGCGACAACTGTCACAAATCGTCGCGTTGTCACCCTTTTTAGACTGACAGATGGGGACTCCATTCCTTAGATGGACATGTTCCTGTCGCTACAGGGGTGAAGCTCTGGAGATCGCTGGGGATCGGCCACTGTTCTGCAGCCCAGGGCACCTCTAGCTTGACGGGAATATTTGACGTGACCCACGGTCAGTTTGCCGCGGCTGTGAACAGCTGGGAGCTATGCCGCTTACTGCGCGACTGCCGATAGCCTTGCAACATCGTGGCTTCCTTCCTGGCACTTGAGGAGAGAAACCATGTTGATTCCCTTTTGTCGAGTTGGTAGGTGACAATTGCTTCTCTTCACGACCCAAACTCACCACATATTGACAAATCCAAAGGTGGTACCACAAGTCTCAGCCACAGCGGGTAATATGCCACAATAAGATATATGCACCAAAGAGGAGTCTCTGGACACGCTAAGCCTCCTTTGGTATCAGTGGGTCTCCCCAGCCGAACCTTTGTTCGTGTCTCGTCGCCCTTCGGCAGCAGCTAGGTCAGCCTCCCCGTTCCCAACTCTGCTTCGTCCATCTCAGAGTCCTCCGCTTTGGACCACAACGACTCTGCACTTCATCGTCGAGGCAGTCGCCCTCGCAACCGAAATAGTTCGTTCTCCCTTTTTATTTCTGCAGCATCTTTACTCGGCGCACCCATTGTCCCTTCATCCCCTTGATCCGGTTGCCCCAAGATACAATTTACTCCTGTCTTCCCTCCTCCCCAAACACATTCTCTACTCTCCTGCCCGGCTCCCTGTCCAGAAGAAAAAAGTCACCCATCCTCCGTTTGTCAATCCACATTATCAAGCCGGCCTCATTTGGCACCAATACTTCTTCTTCTTCCGTTTGCTCCGTCGCTCCTATTAGAGACGAGCCGTTTTTATTCCATCTTTGCCAGACGGCAATTGCACCACTTTTCTGCTGCTGCTATCCTCCCGAATTCTCAATTCTCTTTCTCTTGTTCCCATTTTTCCACAGAAAGCCGCTCCTTCCTGCAAGAATGATTTCTCTAACAGCAATCGCGTTGCCAAACAACAGGCGCCCTCTTTCCTTGCTTTCCTTACCTCCGATCGAGCAAGCGGCCGACACCACATGAGAAGCGAGAACGCGGCTACCCGACGCGATACTTAATCTAGGCTGAACGGCCGCCCATTTCCGCACGTCAACAAAGAGCAACAGAGACCATCCATTCTGGTTTTGTTTACCGCGACTCAGCAACAACAAGGCAAAGATGGACTCGTACTCTTCTCACCGAGACGCCTCCGCGCGCTCGCCGGGCGACAGGACGTGGAGCAGTCGCGACGACACGCGCAAGGACGATCGAGGCGATTCTTTCTACCGCGGCAGGTCTCCTGGTGCGTACTTCATTCCCTAAACCCCATCAATCGAATCTCTGTAGATTCAGGGCCTCCCGTCAATGGCGTCGCCTCCGGCAATAAGGGTTCATTGCTTACCTCATCTTGTAGGCCACGATCGTCGCGATAGACGTCGTTCACGATCACCAGCTGCTGTCGACCGATACGAGCCCAGAGGCCGCGGCCGCGATGACTATGCCGGCGGGCGGAGGGATGACGATCGCAGGGGGAACAGAGATGACCGCGGAGACAGACGCATCAGCTCCCCGCCGTCCAATATTGATCGATACGTCCCAGGACAAGACAGCGGCCCTGCTCCAATGACTGTCAACCCCCTCGCGGACCCGGTCAAGCTCCCCTACCAAGTTGGATTCTCCTACTTTGGCGAGTGGTGGCGCATGAACGAGAAGATCAAGGAAGAGAAGGAGCGCCAACGAAGTGGACGTCGACGCGAGCCGGAACGGGTTCGCGGCCCTCGTGAGGCTCAAGAGGAACGCGAGAAAGAGAAGTCCAAGATTCAGGCCGCGTACGATGCCTACAAAGAAGAGCTTCAGGCCAAGATGGCACGCACTTTTGTTGCCGAGCACAAAAAGGAGCAGTGGTTCCGTGAGCGCTACGTCCCTGAGATTCGCGACGGCTTCAGGTCACAACTTAACGAGTTCCGCCGGGGCGCTTATGGTCAATGGGAGCAGGACCTTGAGTCTGGCACGTTCGACGAGTTTTCTCTCGAGGGTCTGCCTAAGAGTGAAAGCAATGGACTCGGTGGTGTCGTCGAAAAGGAAGAGGGCGAGGCGACAGCTGCGAACGAGATTCTCGGTGTCGGAGACCTTGTTCCCGCCAATGGTGCCGATATCCGAGATGAGAACCTTTACCAGCCGACCTTGCTGATCAAGACCATCGCGCCTCATGTCAGTCGCCAGAACCTCGAGACCTTCTGCAAGGAGCATCTTGGAGAGGACGAGGGTGGCTTCAAGTGGCTCTCACTTTCCGATCCCAACCCCAGCAAACGGTATCACCGCATTGGATGGGTCATGCTTCATCCGTCATCAGAAGTCGCCCCTGCGGTGGTTGACCGTGCGGACCCCAAGGATGAGGATGAGGACATGCCGTTGAAGTCACCTGCCGTAGTATCCACCGCTGAGAAAGCTTTGGACGCCATCAATGGCAAGACTGTGAAGGACGAAGTCAGAGGCGACTTTGTTTGCCACGTCGGCGTACACAACCCACCCACTCACCCTAGAAAGAAGGCACTTTGGGACCTCTTTTCTGCCCCGGAACGGGTCGAAAAGGATTTGGGTCTTGTTCAGCGATTGGTCAACAAGTTCGAAGAGGACTTTGGCTCCGACTTCAACGCTGTTTTGAAGATTGAGGAGAGGGTTGATGATCTTAAAAACGCTGGCCGCCTGCAGCCGACCGTCACCGCCAAGAAGCCCAAGGCCAAGCGGGAGCGCGACCTTGATGTTGATGACGGCATGGAAGACGGTGAAGACGGTGCCATCGACGACGATGAGGACGAAGGCGCCGTCGATGAGGACGAGACCGACGATGAAGAGTTGCTCGTGAAGAAGAAGCAATTGGATCTCATGATTGAGTATCTCAGACGCGTCTTCAACTTTTGCTTCTTCTGTGTATTTGAGAGTGACTCCATCCACGAGCTTACCCGCAAGTGTCCCGGTGGCCACTTGCGCCGCCCAAGAAGCACTCTCGGCTCTGCCGCGAAGGCCGTTGCTCGTGCTAGCGCCAACGGCGAGCCTTTCCCTGGCAAGAAGCGCAGTGAGATCGAAGAAGAAGGCGAGGCTGCCGATGGTGACAAGAAGTTTCGCAGCGCTACTGGCAAGGCGGAACAACAGCTTCTGCGCGCCTTCAACTGGGTCAAGACCTTCGAGGACAAGATCATGCAGATTTTGGAGCCTGATACCGTAGACCTTCGCAAACTTGGAGGCCGCTCAGTTGAGGAAGCCGTCAGTGACGAGACGCTCAAGTACGTCAAGCAAGAGGATGAGCACAAGTGGAGATGCAAGGTTCCAGAGTGTGTCAAGCTGTTCAAGGAGGAGCACTTCTGGCGGAAGCACGTTGAAAAGCGTCACGCCGAGTGGCTCGAGAGCATTGAGCAAGAGGTAAGCACTCCTATTTCCCAATTCACAGTTGCTTCCTTGGCTAACATGTTGCAGTTCCATCTCATCAATGCTTATGTTATGGATCCATCTCATATCGCTCCGTCAAGAACGGATGCCAACTCAAATGGCCACTTCCCGCCTTCGAATGGTCAGCCTGCAACCGGAACTCCTAGAGGTTTCAATTTGCAAAACTTCACCATGAATGGTATGATGCCGATTCCCGGATTCCCTATGCCTCCTGGCGGCTTCCCTCCATTCCTGGGTGGGGGACATCCGGGCGTGCAGTCTGGCTGGAATGGCGGCGGTGATGAGCGCAGTGGGCCTGGTCCGATCCGCCGCGGAGGCATGGGAGGTGGCCGTGGCAACTACCGAAGCGGTCCCTATGACCGTCGCCCCAACCCGCGCTGGGACGGCGGCATGGGTGGAAGAGGCCGTGGGGGCGCCGGAAAATGGGGAGACGGTGCTGCTGGAGGAGCGGCAGTTGGGCCTCGTGAGGCCACCCAAGGTCGTAGTCTCAAGAGCTACGAAGATCTCGACCATGTTGCTGGCGGCGGTGGTGGAGAATTGAATTATTAGGGTAAACAACGCGCCAGCCGTCTTGGCCGTCTGAAGGCCGAGATCAAGAAAACCTTGGGGCTTTAACTGCAGCAGGCGTTATTTGCAGCAACAGTCTTACACGCGAGTTAGCGCGGCATTCGCACCATGGAGCTACGTTCATGTGCTGTACTATGTAAATTACAAAATTGGGGGCTAGCTAGGAATTGCAAATCTGATCTTATCACTTTACATCAAACTATTTCTCGAATGTGGACCTCATTGTTACTCTTATCTCCAATAGTAGTACTTCCACTTGACATTTGCTTGGAGCGGCACCATTGTCTTGCTCCTTGAACATGAGTAGGTACTGCTATAGGTCTTCACTAGGAGTGTCTTTCAACTCAAACCTTTATTAGCCTGATCTACGATTCTTCTTGTTATATTACACGTGTTAAACGAGTCTGTTAGCAACTGCATGGCGGAAAACCCAAGTATATACTGGACTTTCCCAATCCTCGGATAGCCTATACCATGTGACACCTACGATCCCTGATGAAGCTTAGTGAGAAATACGCCAGATCGATTATTAGGTCGAAGCAACTATTATGATAATTCAAAGACGGAACAGCCATCGACGACATAAACCAACGTTTTACTCCAATAGACGCCAGAGCACCCGTACCCCGCTCCCACGCAGCTTTCCCCACGTCTGCCCGCAATAAACCCCAATCACGCTGAACTGTCTCATGGGTTTTGTGCTGCGTACGGGCCTAGGTTTCGTAGCCACTTTCCGGTTCGCCGCGGGAGAGGCTATCCGGCTGTCGGGGGTTTGCTAAGTGATTCCAGTACGTAGTGCCCTTTTTTTGGTCCTTTTGGCAGGGGCTCCAGCTTCCCGCGGCGGCCTTCACCCCGCGCAGGTGATGACCCCCGCACTGAGACTTCTGACATAAGGCGCGGAAGACAGGAACTCGTGTTGTTCAGTGAGCCGATTCCGGGAGAGAACATCGTGACATTGAGACGTACATAATAAACACCTTTGCGGTCGAGGATTCACCCTCAATCTCTAATACATCATACCCTTTTTACATTCTATTAGTTTGAGCAATCATGTCCGCAATGCAGGCAGCCAACAGGCTCAGGACGGCCTTCACCAAGGGAGCCGGGCCCAGCTTGGGGCTGTGGCAGATGATTCCCGGCGCCAACGTTTCCCGGGTTCTCGCAAAGAGCCCGGGCATCGACTGGGTCTTGGTCGACTGCGAACACGGAAACATTGACGGTAACGTGGAACCCTTTCGGGTTTTGCCAAGGACACCGAGCTGACGGCGTGACTTCATCCAGACGGGGCTATGCACGATGCCGTCCCCGCCATCGCCGCCGCGGGCGTATCGCCAATTGTGAGGTTGCCGGACATGCAGGGTTGGATGGTCAAGCGTGAGGGCTCCCATGTGTGGCGATGAGGCTTGAAGAACATACTGCTGATGACGTGACGCAGGCGCCTTGGATTGTGGTGCTCACGGGGTAAAATCACGAACACGCAAAAGAACACGGGGGCATCACTAACACGAAAGACAGATCCTCGTCCCGCTGCTCCGCACGCCTCAAGAGGCGAAGGACCTCGTACAGTCCGCCAAGTTTCCCCCTTGGGGACGACGGGGTTTCGGGTCGCCCCTCGCCATGGAGAGGTTCAACCCGGCGCCCACCATGACCGAGTACTTGCAGCAGGCCAACGACAGTCTGTTGACGATGGTACAGATTGAGACTCAAGAGGCTTTAAACTCGGTCGAGGACATTGCTGCGGTTGAGGGTATCGATGTACTGTTCATTGGGCCCTTTGATCTTGGTCAGTCAGAACGTCATGGGTACCAATCACGAGATGAGTCTAACCGAGTTGCAGGAAACAACATTGGCCACCCAGTGATCAACGGCGTCATCAAGAAGGAGTTGAGTGATGCCATTGACCGCATCCTCGAGGCCACCCACAAGGCGGGCAAGAAGGCTGGCATCTTCTGCACCTCAGGAGAGCAGTCGAAGTTCTTTGGAGACAAGGGATTCGATATGATTAGCGTAGCGACGGACTACACGGCATTGCAGTACACCTTGGCGGAATCTTTGAACATAGCCCGCGGGGCGGCGAAGCCAGCCAAGGGTGGATCATATTAAACGACTGACCCGGGCGGTTGAAATGAAGAATTAAGCGATTATGTAGGCTATGTTCTTGCTTCGGCTCCGGGCCAAAACCTTTGCGGCCGCGTTTAAAGTATCCGTTTATTTGCCCTCAACCTGGTCCATCTTGGCTTCGATCTGGTCGGGATCGAAGCGATGCATGAGCTTGACGGCCTTGCCCACGACTCTGGGGTCTGGGTCCTCCTCAGGGGCCTCGGCTTTGCTGATGTGGATCTGGGGAAGAAGTGAACGTGAGTTTGGTGTAAAGTGCACTCGAGCTGCCAACATCGGACGTCTGCCTCCCTCGTTGTCGCTCAGGTAAACTTACCACAGGCACATCGAAATCGTATAGGTCTTTCCACCGTTTAAATTCTGGCTTCGTGATTTCAACCTCTGTGAAGTCAAACGGCCTCTTATCCCACACGGCGGAGAGGGCCGATTTCCCCCTTACACACAAGCCGCACCCATCGCGAGTGAAGAGTGTGATCCGGCATGCGAGGGCTTGTTGAAAGAGCCGCCGTGTTGGAGTAAACATGTTTGACGATCAATCAAGCTAAGAAATTCAAACAACCGAAAGATTCGCGATTGCCTCTATAAGTGACGTGTTCGCCGGAAACCACGCCCTTGGTGCAGATGTATCCGTTCCGAGTACGTACTGCTGTGAGATGCCAGGATGGCGGGACGGGAAAGAGGCTCGAAGGGCTGTGAAACAGCCTCGTTTTCGCTGTCAGCTGAGAATGGAAGAATGGGAATGTGAGCTGTCGAGCTGAAGGTTAGGGGGCCAAGGACAAGGGTCTGAACAGCGTGGGAGACTCTCAGAGGTGAGATGACGGTGCTGGCAGGCAGTATGGAGGGCGTGAGAAGAGCGCCCGTTGTGTTGGTTTCAAAATGTCCGATGATGATTGGGTGTGGGCGGCAGAGTTGTTGTAGACAGCCCAGGGTGAAGAGTGAAGAGAGCGTTGCAATTGGTAATGTCTGTGAGGAAAGAGACAGCAAAAGGCAAAAGTGTGGGCTGGTTGTGGTTGGTCTCGTCGTACGGAGGCATGTTTCCAACTGAACTCCTACCCCGGCCTTCGCGCCGATATTGTGCAAGGTCCTGGCTGGTAGGCCTTCGGTCGATTCTTCCAATGTCAGCTCACAGCAGGGTATCTTATCGAGGAAGGCGGTGAACCAATTGAGACAGACGCAGCGAGCGCGGCGGACGAATCAGAGGGGGCATATGACGGAGCTCGTGCCTAACATGCATAATTTTGAGCCGCTACGGCGCAAGTAAATGGCGGCCGGGACCCCTGGGAAATTCTGGAATCCTGGAGAACATAGCAACCCCTCCACCGAAGCGGCGACATCGACGTCGGCCACGACTGCCCCTCACCTTCCACTTTACGGGGGCTCCTTTCGAGCAATTTACAAACAAGCAGGACCCGCCCGCCGCCAGCGTGCCCTTCCTTCCCTCAAACGTCACCACTTGTCGCTTCTGGATTTACTTTTCTTTCTTGTTCTCCTTTCGCGATCCAGCTCCCTCCTTCAGGCTTACTTACGGACTCCCGATCGCAACATCATCAAATCCCAAACAAACACGCGAAAACGACAGCGAGCCATCCCACACCATGGCGGAGAAGTGCGTCCACCAAGGCTGCGGCAAGGTCTACACCGATGCAGAGGAGCCATGCGTCTACCACCCCGGCCCTCCCATCTTCCACGAAGGCCAGAAAGGTACTCACTTTCCGCTTACCATGCAACACCGCACTGCCGATTTCATCTTACCTTTATTTTACACTTCGTCATTTCAATGGAGACTCCCATCGCTCCCGTTCTTGTCCCGTGAACTGGGATAGGGATCACCCTCTTCCCCCCCATCCTCCCGCCCAATTGAAGCTTTCCGAACCTTTCGCATCCCTTGCTTAGCCTCCCTCCTCCCAATAATGTCGTCGATTGTAACACACAAGCTAATTGCAAATCACTGCCAGGTTGGAAATGCTGCAAGCCCCGCGTCCTTACCTTTGAGGAGTTTATGACCATCCCCCCCTGCACAACCGGCAAGCACTCTACAACCGACCTGCCACCCCAGATCGAGAAGAAGAAGGAAGACGCTGCTGCGGCCGCCCTTCTTGACAAGCTCGCATCGGCACCGGCCCCGGCGCGCAAGCCCCTCTCCCAGACCCAGGCCCAGGCCGCTCCCTCTCCTCCTCCTCCACCCCCGGAGTCCGAGTCCGATGACGCCTCCCTCGAGATTGCCGATGGCGCGACCTGCCGCCGCAAGGCCTGCTCGGCCACCTACCGCAAGGGCTCCTCCCGTGATGCAGAGTCCTGTGTCCACCACCCTGGCGTCCCCATCTTCCACGAGGGTTCCAAGGGCTACAGCTGCTGCAAGCGCCGCGTGCTTGAGTTTGACCAGTTCATGAAGATTGAGGGTTGCAAGACCAAGAACCGTCACTTGTTCATCGGCAGCGGTAAGAAGAAGGGAGCCGCCGCCGATGGAGGCGAGGAGAAGCTTGACACTGTTCGCAACGATTTTTACCAGACTCCCTCTACTGTTATCGCCTCCTTCTTCCTCAAGAAGATCGTCAAGGACTCTGCCAAGATTGAGTTCAAGTCGCAGTCCATCGCGCTCGACTTGCCTACTTCCGACTCACCGCCTAAGCGCTACACCGCCGAGGTGCCTCTGTTCGCGCCCATTGATGCGGAAAAGTCCACCTTCAAGGTCCTTGGCACTAAGCTCGAGGTGACTCTCGCCAAGGCCGGCGGCGAGTCGTGGCCGGTCCTGCGCAGTGACGACCGTCTCACTGGTGAGATATTACAAATCGGCAAGGCGGGGCGCTTGCAATAGCCGTTATAGCACATGACCTGCTACAGACTTGACCGTTTCCTGCCATATCAGACCCGGAATAGCATTCATACGGATGTATCAGGGAAAAAAAGGGAGGGTGGGAAAACACCGTCAGCGAGAAGGATAAGAGGCGGGAGAGATAAAGGGGTGTTCAGCATACATTATCCCGTCATCATTTGGCATAAAGAAAAAGGAAAAGCACGCAAGATACCTCTAGATAGGCATGTGAGACATGGTGTCCCGCCCACGGGAAGGACGCGGTGTCTGCGGTAATCCAAGAAACCGTAAAACAAGGAAGAAAATCCGAGATAACTGAAAAAACATTCTACCGCTACGATGGTGGGCTGTGTATGTGATCTGCGTTTGTCCTATCTCTGCGTGTTTCATTTCACTCTTGGCCAAGAACATGTGCCCGCAGCACGTTGCGCGGCCTCGTCCATCGACTCGATCTTTTCGGGGCTAGCGGGAGAAACATGTTTTGGAAGACTTCACTGAACCAACAAGACTGATTGCGGCCAGCTCGAACACTGCAGACTTTGTGATGATGTACGCAATACAGGCCCTGTGGCCCTGAGCGGTGATAAGTGATGCCAAGAACAGGAGCAAAAGCCACGGACCCTGAAAGGACCACACAAGCAAGCCCTCCTTCCGTGCGCGCGCTCGTCCTCTCCAGCCTCTCTTCACTCCTTCTGTCTCTCACACTACTCTCAGCATCATCACGGTTGTTGAGATGACGATGATCACGGCCCAAAAGACTTGGCATTCGAACCATTGGCTTTTGCGCGGTGACGGTTTCCTCTTAGCCACATGACAACGCACAACGCACGCTACCACTGCGCTTCAACATTCCTTTCCGTTCTTAATGAGTGCCGAGAAATGTGAACTCGCGGCTTATCTGATTTCCGTCTTCTCATCGTCCAAGCCTAGTCTCATTTTGTCAATGACCCATGTCCAGAAAGAGAACTCCGGTGAGAAGTGACGGCATGTGAGAATGTTACAACAGGAGCCACCCGGAGTCCGTTGTTCTCTGCCCAACCCGTGTCCCGTTTTCAATTCTCGTAGGGCCCAAGAAGAACTAATGCCGACGCTAGTGACAACACCCCTGGAGGCTGGCTGACGGAAAACCTCCCCGTCGAATGTAACAAAAAACAAAAAGGAAAGCTGATCAGAGTCAGGGGTTCGACTTTTGTGATAACCAACTGACGCGCCAAAAAGTCTTCGTGCACCGGCCTGATGCACTTAGACAGGAACCCGTATGGAAAGTAAACTTTTTTTATTCAATTTCAACCCACTCGCCCGTGCCACAGGGATCATTACAAGAGCACGGATAATGGTGCGCACAGCACACTTCGACACATGCGTGCACACCCCTCCTCTAACCGTCTCCGAAGGGCCATTCCCTCCCGTCTTTTCCCTTTCTTTCCAGTCTTTTTCCCTCTCCACTCACACTCTGACTCCCGTCCATAGCCCGCCAGTGCATCTCCCAAAACGCCAAGCCCGCAATGTGGATTCAGGAGCATAACAAAACATACACAAGAATGAGAGGAGAAAAGGGGTGCCAAGAAAGGCGGCGAAAAAGACATACAGAAGAGAGTATCCGCCAAGAAAAGCCAAAAAAGAGGACAGGCGTGGAAAAGGAAAAAAAAGTGAAGAAAGGTGGAACCGGTCGGGGTGATGGGAAAGACGGACATCGTCATCCCGCCTCGGCCGGAATCCGCAAGGAGACGAGGTCCCCTTCGCAGCCGTCAATGATCGGCTTGGTGCTCCGCTTGCTGTTGCCACCAAGAGTCCGTCTTCTGGAGACCGTCATTCCGGCGCCCGCCCGGTAGTCAGGTGGTAGTGGCTTTGCCAGCTAGTGCGGGAGGACGTGTCCGGACTAAGAGGCTGGGCGGCCCGTACGGTAGTAGCTAGGTTCGCTGCCCAGCCGCCTTAGTAGCCGGTGGTAGAGGCTGGCGCTTCTGCGTTGCTGGTGGTTCTGTATTCGTAGGGCCGCCCGCTCAGAAAAGTAAAACGACAGGGATGTTCCTGCCAAGGCGGCGAGAAAGGGAGAATCCCATAAACCCAAAAGGGACAGGTAGAGGTGGCTGCACACAGCGGGTGGGGAATGAGGGCTATGCCGCTCCGGGCGGATACGGGCGTCTCGTAGTCTGTAAAGTCATAGTTCTCCAGTGTGTGCGTAGCTGAAAGTGCAGCGTGCCGTAGTAGAGGCGTTCTGGCGGTCCCAATTGCAGGGACTCTGCTCGTTCGTGCCTGGTGTTATGACGTGGGGGTCGCCATATGCTGGTCGATCTGGCGGGATCTAGACTGTAGCCTTTTTTGCCTTTGACTTCGCCGCACCGATGCAAGGGTGGGGCCTGCCGCCGCGGGATGTAACGGACCCGTCGTCGCCGCCTCAACCACTGGCACCAGGCTTGGTAGCCGGATTAGGGGATGGCGCTCTCGAGTCCGTGCCGTTGTAGATTAGCTGGAAGCCATCGCGCCGGCAGACAACAATCGGCTTGTCGTTGGAGCAGCGCCCGATGATCTCGCTCGAGTCGGGCATGCTGTATGGCACGGCGTCCTTGAAGTGGATGATTGGGCCGCCGTCCATTGTGAGCCCGATAATCTCGGCTCCCTGAATACCCTCGTCCTCATCAGAGGCTTCAGCTTGAATGGTGTTTCTGGAAGGCGTGTTAGCACGGATCGTTTTTTTACCTTGGCAGGTATCATCGGGCAGCCACGATGCCTGCCAGGTGAAAATTTTTGAGATTGCACTTACACTTGGCTCATTGGCAAGGTGTTGGCGTCGCTCATCTTCCTCTTCCTAGCATTGGCGGCCCTCTTAACCCTCCTAGTGATGCAGCCGTGAAGGTAGTGGAACAGGCCTGCGATGACGAGAACCGGTGTGCCGAGAGCCAGAGCCCAAGGTCTGTAAGTCGTTAGTAAATGAACGGTGTAGGGGGTAGCTAGAGAGATGACATACGGGTTTCTGCGTTGTCTCAAAGAGTGCACCAGAGCCAGAATGACTCCGCACACGGCAATGAGAGATCCGACCTGGATCATGGTGAAAGTCGACCAGTAAAGTGACATGAGATCTTCTCCGTCGCAAAACTGCAAGGCCATCAAAGTGAAAACCTCCATGATGACCGTTACCAAAGAGACACACACGCATCCCAAACTGAACCAGATACAGCGTCTAATTGCCTGTTTTCGTTTTGAGTCTGTCGGTGGCAGGTCCGCAACGGCGTCTAATGTCCTGAACAGTTGGTCAGTGAGACTGTTTGAGAATAGACCGTGATTACAACGGCGTTGCGGAGAACTTACCGAGTGTATCCCCATGCTGCAAGAAACAGGATGAACAAGTTGAAGACGAAGAGGAGCCAGTAAAGGAGATCGAATTGCCATCTGTCAAGATGTGAAGCAAAACGGGCGTAGTGTGCGCATCGAATAGGGTCATAAGGCGTAAAGTCTTCTTCGTTGGCAACCATCTTGGGCAACGGTCTGGCGGCAAGTTGTGTCGTTGTTGTTCAGGTTGAGCGTAGTCCAACTATGCTGTGTGTTGCTGTAGACACTGATGTTCAAGTTGTATATGAATGTCTTCTTTCGATGTCGTCTGGTGGTTCCGGATGACAGAAGGCTGATGGTACTGACACTTTGACAGGTGGTAATGCAAGAGGCTCTGCTTCTTTATACCAAGTAGGAAGGACTCGTTTTGTAAAGTCACCGATCCGCAGGGTTATTCTAGCATGGGGCGGACTTGCCCAGGCTTGCGTGTGTGCGGCAGGGGGGTGCTTTCACAATCTGATGGCGGGCAGGGGTCGTCGTGGTCCTACAACTACCGAAGGGCCACCCCGGTGTATGCTCCTACAGAGGCTTGGGGACGGACGGGTGGGGATAGAAAGACAAAGCTCCAGAGAGGCTTGTCAAGTAGATTGCGATTGCAAGATTGGCTCAGAGTTGACATGGGCACAAGAACAACGCTCACGAGCTGCCAGACGCTACTGCAACTCAACTTTGCGCCGTCATCTTTAGACCCGCCTCCATTTTTCAGTCGACGACCACCTGCACCAACCGGTGGATCCATCGTCAAACTCATCTTGTCACCAATGATGCACTGATGCTGAGTCGAGTGCGGAGGAAGGCTAGGAATAGCGCTTGAAACAAGATGACAGTGACAGCGTTGTCGACCTGGGCTTGCGGTGATCCGCATGTGGATGGCGATGCTGTCTGGGCGATGTCTGGGCAGTCTCTTGGCAAGATGCGCGGGATAAGACGTAGATTGCCGATCTGTAGGTGGGCCCTGGTGACGGCCGATTGTGGATTTGGATTGGTCGGAGGTCGCATTATTCTCCGGACTAGGGGGGGCTTAGCAACGACGTTCAGACTCGACGCTCAGAAAACCGCCCATGGTTCTCAGAGCTCGACGACAAGTCGAGCTTCCCTGGTCCACTAACTGACTCCGTCCAATGGCGCCCGAGGCCGCCGTCGGTGCGAAAAGCCACCCCGCACGTCTCATGAACGAACCCTCAACACATTCTCAACTCAACTCATTCCCTCCATCAGCTCAACTCTGTCGAGCATCATACCCTTCAGACCAAGATACTCTCTTAGAGAGTCCCACTCGATGCCACCCTCTTCACCGTGCCTCCATTTCTCCTTGTAACCCCACGCGCATGCAATGTCATCCATGGCAGCGCGCTCCTCCTCGCGAATCCAGCGCTGGTGCAACGGGATACCTGGAGCCCAAGTAACACGTCGCATGTGATCGTTGACAGTGGTCCTCGCAACCACACCGATTGTGCCAGTGAAGCCCAGATAAGCCAGGATAGCGACAAAGGCGAATTTGGTGGCTGTCACGGGCTCCATTGTGTTCTGGAATGCCGAGAGATTGGAGGCTAGAGCGTAGACCCCAATTGGGGCCGCAACCACGGCCGAGGCGGGCAGAAGCGCTTTCCGCAGAAGCTTCTGCCGGTAGAATGCTTGTGTCGCATAGCAGGCCTCAACGATGCCAACTGCAGCGTCCAGATTCTTGGCGTCGATGGCGGCCCCCAGAGCTGTTTCGGCGACAGCTGCCTCGATGGCCTTGTCTGCTCGCTTTGGGTTCTGCTGTACGTAGGTGATTGAACCCTCGACTGCCTTGGGTTTGGGCTTTGATGCATACAATTCGAAAACTTGGGGTAGTGTCTCGGGCCTGCCAAGCCTAGCTTGGATGTTTACGTACAGCTCCAAGACCTGGGGACCAATGGAAACGGTGGGGTGTGCGATAATTTGGTATGCTGACTCGGAGATTGTGTCGACTGTATCCTTGACGGAGACTGACGGGATCGACGTGCTACCAGAGTTAGCTGCAGTCGAGTTCGAGTCCAGGGATAGCAGGTTTGACGCGGTCGACGCCGTGAGGGCAGAGGCCGGACGAATCTCCGACTTGGATAGATATGGTTGAATCGCATTTGCGGCGCCTTGGCACGTTTTCAAGGCTGCGATGACGAGCTGTGGAGTAGGAATTCCGTCCGTCGACATGAAGCGCTGCTTGCTCTGCTGAACAATCGCAGCCAGCTTGTTCAGGTCAGGGAGCTCCTTGGACACAGCCCTTGTGCCGACAGGCCTCTCGTGACCATCGCTCCTCAAACCCGATGTAGATACCGCGCTCGTGAAGCGGCTTTCCCCAGCAAATCGTCTCAATGTGGTATTCTCGTGAAGCTTGGCAGATCGCGAGGAGACGATCGCAGATGCGTTTGGCTTGGCGGTATGAAGGAATCGAGTCTGTTGCCCAGCGCGTGATAGGGTCACGCATAACCGACAGAGGGATCGTGGTTGAGCGGCCGCTGGCCGGATGATGGCGGTCCGCATCATCTTCGTGACGAAGAAGGCTGAGGATTCGGGCGTTGGCGTAGTAGAAGGGACCTGCGACGGACCGAATCGAACGCTATGAAGTCGAGCGCGCGAGCGAGCGGGAAAGGACGCGTGGTCGACTGGTCTCTGAGGGCTGCTGTAGTTCGAAGCAGCACAGCGGTTGGTCGTGGGTTGTGAATCGTGGAAACGAAGCCAAGAGAATCAAGCAAAGGGGCCGTCGGGCGGGTGAGGCAACAGCCGTCCTCTGGGCGAGATCCCGGGAGAGGCCGTCTTGGGGTCTTGGGCAAAGGAGTGGGAGGCCGACGCGGAGACCGACGAGTAACCTGGCTGGTGTAACAGGTGCGATGCGAAGGAGAGTGAAGCTTTCGAGGAGACGGACGTTCCGGGGCAAGCTGGGAGCTCCTGCAAAATTTCCACCCGTAGGCCCAATCCACCCAATAGCAGGAGCTCTAATCGGCCCCCCTGGCCCTATCTCACAGGCGATCACTCCAGTTTCGGAGAGGCTCTTCGGCAGCGCTCGCCGCACCAATGAGGCCGGCACTTGCCCCTCCAAGCGGGGTCCGTCAGCGCTGCAGCAGTTAGCGCACAGCAGGCTGAGTACCTAGAGGTCATCGAAGAAACGTGGTTCGGGTACAGCCACAGCCGCTGCGCCAACCATGAACTTGCACCTCACGCCTCACCAAACTTCAGTTCATCCTGCATGTTTTCTCAACACCGTTCTTTTCCAAGACTTTGGGACTGTAGATCTTTCTGTAGCACTGCATCAGGTTTGATTAGATGAACATAGTGTATCTCAAGCTTCTTGGCTCTATTCCGGCTCATTTTCTTGGTGCACCTTTTCTTTTTCTTCTTCTCATGTACGGCGTATGCTACTGCAAGCCGCGTTGGGCAATTGCGTCAAGTATTCGTACTCTCCAGCCACAGCTACTTGCAAATACTCCCTAGGCTGATGGGGCTTGTGCGATACTTTTGCTTTGGCGGTGTCCGCCCGCAAAAATGGAAGTAGCTCGAACCAGGCAGCGGTGCTCAGCCCACTCATGCTGTAACGGTAGCACTGCCAGCGCCCAACAGCGCCGCATCTCGAGCGTACGTCCAAGAACTGCCCGAGGATGACGAAACACCACGCGGCTGAAAAGCTACCCCAGAGTAACATCATCTAATCGCCCCTGGGAATGCACTGATCGACCCTCGAGAGCCTCACTTGTCGTTCATTGAAACGGTACCCTGTCATTTGACAGCACTGTATCTCGACGACATCTCTTCCATCGCCGTTGTTGTCGACACGACCGCTGTGCTCCAGCCTCCGTTCAACCTGGTCCACTACAACGAAACGACAACGACATTTATTGACATCGACAACGCACTCACCGCCAACCATCGGCGACATCCATCTACCACCCTCATCCTTTGAAATCACTCATCGTTCCATCGAAATAAAGAAACACACACGGCCGAGTCGACCGAACCGATCTCAACATGCCTCCTCCACCTCCCCCGCCGCCTCCGATGCCTGGAATGGGCGGTCCTCCGCCTCCGCCTCCGCCCGGGGGACCTCCAGGACTAGGCAGTCTGCCATCGAGGCCGGCCGGAGGAGGAGCGAACAGAGTATGGCCTCAATCAAGACGATATCCCTTTGCTCAGACAACAGCCTGCTAATGTGGCCATCAGGGTGCCCTTCTCTCCGATATTTCCAAAGGCAAAGCTCTCAAGAAAACCGTCACGAACGATAGATCTGCTCCAGTTGTAGGAAAGGTTTCAGGCGGTGGAGGAGGAGGAGGACCGCCCATAGGAGGTGCGCCCCCAGTTCCTGGATTTGGCGGTGCACCCAAACCTCCAGGAGGTCTCGCGCCTCCGGTACCTGGGAACAGAGCTAGAAGCAACAGCGATCAGAGTGGTAGTGCACCGGCACCGGCAGCTGCGGAACCCGCACCGCAACTAGCTGGACTATTTGCTGGGGGCATGCCGAAGCTGCGCAAGACTCGCGGTGCTGTCGACACCGGCGCGGCTGCCGATTCATCCTACATGTCGGATCCCGAGAATAACGTACGATCGTCTTCCGCGCCAAAGGTGCCTGCCTTCGGTGCGCCCAAGCCACCTGCTGGTGCGGCGCCAGCTATTCCTGGAAGACCTCCTCTCCCGCCTCCAGGTGGTGCTCCAGCACTACCACCATCGATCGCCCATCTGCGAAAGACACCCAGCGATGTTCCCAGGCCAAGCTCCTCGGCATCCATGAAGGGGCCCCCGCCTCCTATTGGCAAGAAGCCACCACCACTGCCTGCATCTCGAAAGCCCTCTACAGCTCCATCGAACAATCCACCTCCTCTGCCTGGTGCTCCAGTTCCTGGAGTCCCTCCCCCGCCTCCTCCATCAGCTGCTCCAGCCCCTCCCCCATCGGCACCTCCCTCGGCGCCGCCACCACCCCCCGCCGCTGCTGCACCCAGAGCCCCAGCGCCTTCACCCCCTTCTCGATCTCCAGCACCTCCACCTCCTCCACCCGCATCAAACGGGCCTTCGCCTCTGGCAATGCAAGCTGCCCTACGAGCAGCTGGACAGGCATCACCCAGTGCCGCACCCCCGCCACCTCCATCCACGGCGCCTTCGCCTCCCGCGGCCGCACCTCCCCCGCCGGCCGCCCCTTCGCGGGCCCGGTCCGGGTCTGGACTTCGCTCATCTATGCTCGACCCTAGCGCATTTACTCTTGCCCCTAATGGAGCAAAGAGCCCGCCTCCTTCACGTACCAACACAACCACGAGCCTGAGTACGGTTGGCGGTGGTGGTGGCGGCGGACGTTACATTGTCCAAGACTCACGTTGGAGGTTCCAAGACGAGGCCATGCTTCCAAAGCCTAGGGAATTTCTCGGTGGCCCCAGACGCTACAGGGCTGGCAGAGGGAGCAGTGTTCCCCTCGACTTAAGCGCATTGTAAGGAGGTCCATGATACTGGGGATCAGCTGTGTTCAGCATCCAAAACCTCACGGTGACTACGATGGATCAACGCCTGCGATGGAGTCTCTACGCACGCCGTATTCTACCGAGGGAACATGCGATGAGCTTGGGGGGACGCGTTCATGGACCATCCCACGCTCATTCAACACTATTACCTCTTGGCGTTAAGGAGGATGACTGTATTTTAGGCAAGCGATCATCTTGTGAATAGTAGCTTCACAGAGCGAGTTCCTTGCATCAAAACATAGCGGAGTAGCCTTTCAATGATCCGAAAGTCCGCAGGGCGTTGTTGTAACGAAACGATCGCCGAGACGATATCTAGATCGCTTGGTTCTTGGCGTCGGTGACTTTCTCAAGGTCAAGACGATGGTTCACTTGTGACATGGTTCCATGGTTCCCAGATGGATCCTATGGGGGAAACTCTACGACATCGGGATTGGTCTCGGGGGGCGTGGAGGAATCAAGGACGGCTTTCAGGCATACGAGCCATGCGGAGGGTATGGTATCACCGTGGTTCGAACAGGCTCCTGGCATCTGTTCACTTGTGATCGGCGGAGTCCATCTAGACATTCCAAAAGACTTAGGATCCAAAAATACCTGAGATTGACTAGCAAAGAATGCGTACGTGTGATGTGTCTCCAGCCTCGCGCAGCCCGAATTTCTGGCTTTTACGAGATTTGCGCCGAAATTGAGACGAAGTTTCTCAGTATCACGCCGACAATGAGACGAGGTTCCTGTTGGTCTTGGCGAGCAATTGCGTCTTCACTGACTGCCCTTGTTGGTCCAAGTTTTCTCTTCAAAATCTGCTCTTCCAGAACCACTCAAGGATCCATCTCCTACGGTAGACGACGTCTAAGCCTCGCCTCGTCTCGAAAAAGTTCTGTGACAAAACTTGACAGCCCTGTCTGCTGCCCGCCTGCCCTTCACGTGCTCTGCAGAGGCTGCTGCTGGGCCGCGCAGAGTCCGCACAACCGTCCGGGCCAGTTTCGCAAAAGGGCAACTCGTTTCGAGTAGCAACTTCGAACGTGTGTCAACGGAGTTGTCAACGAAACTTTTTGCCCGTCCTTACCCTCCCGCATTCCAAGGCCCAGCCAGCCAGCCAGCAGAATTTGCGGAGTGTCCGGACTGCGCGAACGACACACGACACCGCATGTGGGTTTTGCCTGTTGCTGGTTTCGGGTGACTCTGGCCTTGCAGCCACGGCTGCGTGTGTCAGAGGATGGACTAAACTCTCTTACATTTTTGGCTTGTTGACTTGCAGCGGAGACAAGACAGACGTACGCAAGCAAGAATCACGTAAACACAGCCAACAAGTCTAATCAGATTGTTCGGGCGAAACTCTTTTACCCACTCATCCATGCCTCCCTTTTCACTTTCAAATGTGTGTGCTTGTAGCGAAGTTGTCTGCCGCGTACCATGCCCTTCGATTGTATTAGACTAACCGTGTTAAAGCTAACCCGCAAGATGAAGTTGGTTTCACGTATGCCGGCGTCGCAGAGTCCATCTTTGCCAAGAGATTGAGGGCAAGGTAAAGGGTGTACAGACAACCCAGAAGCCAAGCCTCAACCCCCTTTCGCAGATAATCCCCCGGGTGCGATCGCAGCGGAATTTCAAAACCAGACCCATGATGACCAGAGAGAGAGAGACGGAAAAAACAAGCAATTGCAAAGGAAAGAACGGGGGGGGTAAAAAAGCTTTCACGCCAATGCTGCCCAGCCCCCTTGGCTTTCCAAACCCCCGATCGTTGATCATTTCAGATGAAGCTGAAGAATAATAATGACTTGTTGTGAGTATGTCCGCACCCAGGCAGAACACAAAACACATAAACACACGCCCACGCCTATCCCCGTTTTCGTTTGTCAGGCATGTTCCGCGATTTCCCCCAAATAGGAAGCAAGAGGTATCCATGGTTGATGATCGTCTATATTCGTCGTAGCCCGCATTCAAACCCGTTGGTGACGAAAGAGAGATGGAGACCGGCAAAAAAAAAAAAAAGTGAACAAGAAAAAATGTCGGAACCCATCACACCCATCAAATCCACCCCCGTACCCCGGATTCCCCCGGACTAAGGGTAGAGATAGGGACGTAAATAGTATCCGACGCCTCATGATTCAGACGAGATCTTCGAATCTGAATCAAGCAACAACGCTTCGGCCAACCCCCGCACCCCACCTGAGGCGACGAAGGCCACCGCCGGAAGAACGAATAACTTCCCTACCGCACGACGAAGAGTCTGCTACGGTCGAAGCGTTGACGCCCGCTCCCGCCGCCGAGAGCACTTCTTGACGTCCAACCTCGCGGCCGATCACATAGCCCGCGCCAAACCCGACCACGGAAACAAGCACCACGACGCCAGCGCTCACAACCCAGGTCAGCAAAGTCGGGCTGATGAGCGCGTCCTCGCCGGCGGCCACCTTCTTCTTCTTCGTCGCCCTCGACGAGCGAGTTTGTGAAGAGGAAGTCCTCTTGTGCTTGTCAACGCCTTCGCTCTTGGGTGATGAAGGCGTAGAAGATGTGGCGGTCCGTGACCGAGCAGGTGTCTTGGCTGGTGATGGGGCTAGAGGTTGTGGTTGTCTATCAGTCATGAGTTCAGATTCAGGCATGAGCCTCAGTTCTACAGGCTGAGAACTAGGTCCGACTCCGGTAGCGGCCGGTGCGCCCTGCTGCTCACTGTCCTTGTACTTGGGCAGACCCCGAGCGGCAGCAGCACACGAGAGGAGGGTGGTGAGGGAAGCACGGAGAGCGGCATCGTTGTCGGCTTGGTACGCCGGCGACATGAAGTTTGGCGGGCTGCGGTGCACTCTCGTCTGGGACCGGTGGGAGAGCGACGGTCTTACGCCACTATGCGGGTGCTGATGGATGGCCGAGCCGGCAGACTGACTCCTGTGCAAGCCCGACGGCGGATGAGAGAATGCATTTGGGTGAGGCCTGAAGACGGGGTCGTCGGGAACGCGTGCTCCTAGGGCAGTCGCGATCTCATCGCCGTCATCCGAGTCCTCTGACTCCACCTGGGCCGACAGCTGCTGTTGGAACGGCGCCCGAACAGAAGGTTGCACGTTCTCGGTCGAGCTCGTCAGACATCGGTCCTCCTCGCTCTCGCTCTCTTCATATTCTTCCTGACTGCTTGTGCCGGCGTGAATAGCTGTCTGGTCGACATGGAAAGACCGAGGGGCGGGTGGGTGATGTAAGCGACGTCGGCGAGCGGCCATAGACCCGCCGACTCGGAGACCGGTCGTGACGATCTCGTCTCCGATGGACGAGAGCGAAGACGAAGACGGCTGCGACGCGATTTCAACCCACGATTCTGAGGCAAGTCATGTCAGTATTTCATCGTCAGCTGCACCGAGCCCCTGGGATGCAAGCCACTGACCGTCATTTCTCCTCCGCGGCCCTGCGGCGGACTGCGCTCCGTTTACTGGGACTCTATTGTTCTGACCGGCGCGCTCGTCGCGCTGCTGCTGCTGTCCATCCATGATGCTATGCCTTATTTTTTGACGCCGTTGAAACTGAACAAAATGAAAAAGCAACAAGTTCGTGGCCTTGGTTCGTAAGGGATGAAGTTGTCGTCGACGTCGGGGGATGTGGCTGGACGGGTGTGGGGGGGAGGCGCTTCCTCCGTCCGAAACCCCGCGTTTTGAGCAAGATAAGAAGTATACGCTGGAGATGCTTAGCTCGCGGTCCGAGATGTCTGTTCGCGCGACGTCGACGATGGTTCGAGAAAACGTGGTGTACAAAGGTCAGAGGAGCGGAGGAAAGGGAGAAGTTGGAAAGTTAGGAGGAAAGATGCAGCAGACCGCTTCGACTATGGCTTAGCTCACCAAGGCACGCAGGGTCGGTGAGATGGTGTTGAGGCCCTGCCCGTTGGCTGGCTGGCTGGCTCTTTGTTGCAGCACGTAAACGTAGGAGGTTAGGTAGGTAGGGGGTGGTGGTTGAGGGGGAAGGGGACCAGTCTCCATCCAGCAGGCATGCGATACGGCGGAGACTTGGAGAGACTGGAGTCTTGGAGAAATGGATAACGGAGCGGACCAGGAAGATGATGTACACCTGCAGCCCCCGTGTGGTGCAAAGTGACCTGCTGCTTTGGGTCGGCGCTTGTAGATTCCGGCCATCGCACCGTGTCAGGTGCTTGGGCCATCACGTCGACATCAGACGGTGCGCCCGAGGTGATTCTGAGGCATTCCAGCTGCGAATAAGATAGATAAGGACAGTGCGGATAGTGGCAGGTCCATGACGCTACTATACTGTTCGCCAGAGTGCGCAGAACCTGGGTTGTGCTGCAGCCAGGCATAATGATCGGTACCGTGCCTCGAATCCCGTACCGTCTGCCGGCCCCCAAACATCCCACCCGCACACGTCTTCCGGGCCGCCAAGTGCTGCGAGGTAGCGGGGTCAGGTGCACGTCAGTGGAGAAACCATACTGTGGGAAAACAGTGGGAAGCGCGAGCTGCGCCTGCGTTACCATCAGCACCAGCATCAGCATCAGCGCCAGACCGGCATTAGCATTACACCCTCATGTCATCGTTGTCAAGCTGCACCGGAGCACCACCGACACCGGCCCTCGACGTTGGGCCTTAAAGTTGCGACCCGGTGCTACAAAACCACCCGTGAACCTGCAGAACCGTAGTCTGGCGCCAGCGAGTGGCCTGCGACTTGCATCCCGCGACAAGGACGATCCCAAGACAAGCCGTGACACGCCGCGATTGTCGTCTTATAATCGTCCCCTAAGTCATGCCAGATTCCAC